AGAACTTAACTGAAACTGGCATTGGGTTAACTGGAATTGTCACCAGTAGTATATCCAGTTTGGTGAACTTAATTTCTTGCCCATCAGATTTTTGCATTTTTCATCAAGTTAATCACACATATCAACTCCTTAATGTATTCAGAAAAAACACAAAAGCTTCCTATGCAACAACCTAAACCATTTTCAATTTTTGTATGTGGCTAAAAGAACTATGATTCTAACAACCATAACACACATAGTATGTCAGCTATTGTTGAGAGTAAATCAAAATCTTACATCTTCATAATGGTTGTCCTCATCTGCATCATAATACAAATCTCTAATATCATTCCTGGAGGAAACTTCTTGGGATTCTTTGACTGCACCACCACTCTCTGAAGTTGCTGGAGTAGCTCTAGCCCAATTAGGTGGAACATCTGGTCTTCTTTCTTTGACCTGAGGAGGTTTTACAGAATTTCGAACAGTTCCTGTACTCTGAAGTCCACCAATGCTGAAGTCCCATCCAGCATTTTTAAATGTTTTTGCCTGACTACTGTAAATTAGAAATTTAAAACAAATGAGTCAAGATAATTCAGAATGGACATGCACTAAAATCAACATAATTTGATTGACCTACCTCGAATAGTTTCTTCGCCTCTTATGTCTCTTTGTGCCTTTACAGTGTCAAATCCTTGCTCTATAGCCTTGGGACCATTTCGTAGGTTTTCTGCATCCTCCTTTATTTCAAACTTTGGGCACTCTCTATTAAGAACACAAATTCAATCGTCGAAAACTAGAATAGGAATTTAGGAGAGATCCAACTAAGCATTCTCTTTTCATGACATGCCGGAAATTGTTCCAGGACAAAAATCTAAGCATGATTCAGCATGAATTGAGTTACTCACACATTACAACTATCTCAAGGACCATTTCCTATCAACAGGAAATTTCAAAATAATCAGGCAACAGTATGGGACTCACCTGATTCTCTCCAGAAGCCTTGGACTCTTTCTAGAATTCCTGATAAAATGGTGCTTGAGAAGTTCCTTCGCACTTGGCTTCTGATATTAAACAAATAAGAGAAAACTTACTTAACCCAATCATAATTAAGCCAATAGCACTTGGTCATATGACTTACGCAAAACTCATCAGCATAGTTTTAGTAGAAAAAACAAGCACTACTTGACACTCTAAATTGCAAGTCAAAATTCAGGAAAAAGAAAATAAGAAGGATCTAACAAAATCTATGTATTACCTATACATGTTTGATATTTCCGTTAGTGGATGATTAATGGGGATCTTTTATTCTTGTTTTGGGTGAGATTATCCCCTTCTGCAACAAAAACACAGGCTTGACAGATCTAAAACATTGCATTTGACAAGTAACTGAACTCCATTTGTTTTTATTACTAACGTACCTGGATGCTAGCTCTTTTTCCACACAGCTAAGTTTATTTTATTTCTATTTTAGCTTTGAACTCAGATTGTATAATCATAGTGGTTGTTTGGATTGCCATTTCAAAAACAGCTATCAGCTGTTGGTTTTAATTGAACGGATTAAATACTCTAAACTATAAACAACAATGATTATCAACAGTAAGATATTGTCTATCAGCTGTCAACTTCATTTGAACCGCTAATCCAAACACCCCTATAAACATTACAAAGCAAACAATGTATAAACCTGGAAGGACTAACAATCTGGATTATTTTATTCAACAATAAGCCAAAAAGAATTCACTATTTACCTCCTAATTTTCCTTTTCTATAAAAAAGAAAAAAAGAAAAAAAGAAAGCACTTTCTAAAAGGACAGAATGAGAATATTATTCTCAACATAGTTATTATCATAATAATCAATCAACTCTCTACAGCTATCAGTTAAAAAAGTTTCTGTCCTAATCCTACCCCCAAGGAATATTCACACATCATAAAATGGAAATGAATAGTGGGATACGTGGAGTAAAACAGACTACCTCAGCTGGTAATTTCTTTAAACACAGAGAAACAAACTCTTTCATAGGACATGAAAAATGCTCATCCAACTGCAAACAGAGAATTCTGATGTTATTTAAACTATCATTAGACAAGATTTTAATCTGCATTGCAGCAGAATACTAAGAGAACCTGTGGTGGATTTTCTCAAGGAATGATAAAAAGAACTCGCATAGGATGAAGGTCTGCAAGCGGAGGTTCACCTTGGCCATTTCAATCACAGTTATGCCCAACGACCAGATATCTGCCTGCAAAAAGCAAGGACTCTAGTGACATAATATTCACATGACTCAAAAAGTGAGACAATGACAGATTTTTTGGCAGGCATGTGCAGTTAATAGAGTTAGAGTGAAGGAGAGGGGAACAGGCCGGAATATTTTAGAGCAGCAAGGTATCAAAAAACTTGACAGAACTTCAAAATTTTTACCTTCTCATTGTATCCTTCTGAATTCTGAGTCACTTCTGGTGCCATCCAGAATGGAGTTCCTACAAAAATCTGACATTATTAACCATATTAGCAAATGACCAAATCTGCATTTCAAACCATTTGTTTAGAGAATTGATACATTAAATGACCAAAGCACACAATTTTTTATCGTGCTTAATCTTACCTAATAGTATGTTTGGGTTGAAAGGAAAGGATGGGAAGGGAGGGGAGGGGAGGGGTGAGTTTTTGAACCAATCAAATTATAACGTTATTAAATATTGCATCTGATTGGTCCAAAAATCCATCCCTCCCCTCCCCTCCATTTCCCTCAAACCAAACATACTACAAAGGTAGGTGGATGTTAAATTCGAAAGGAAATGTTTTAGTCACTTGATAAGTATCATTTACTTTCTTACAAGGAACAACTTTACAGTTCCATG